TATATATATATATATATATACACATATATATGTGTGTGTGTAGTATATACAGGTATAGAATATTATATATAATATATATAATATTCTCTTTTTTACTTTTTTCTTTGTCACGCGACTTTAGTCACATGGTGTTCTATTCTCTTTGTTTTCTTTTATTTTTCGAGTTTGATTTTCATGTGTTATTTCTGACATCTCTCATATGTACATCATGTGTATTATATTGTTTGTAAGACGTATATACCAGCTGTCATTGCGGTGACAGGTTAAATTCACTGATACTACGCGTTAAAATAAAAGCAATAATAGCGTGCGCGTGGCGCGCGTCTGTGTTGTGTTAGTCCTACTAGAAAAAGCGTGTGTAAATAATCACAATCGATTCTATTGATCTTGATTGTTGCCGCTTTTATCTCGACGCTGATTGGACGTTTCTAGATTCATGTCATACAAATCAAGAGGCACGGTAGTGCCTTTTATACGCGAAATTTATGCGATTGAGAAGTGATGAGATTTTCACGGAGTAATATCTCAAGAACAACTGAACCGATCAATTTTGTTTTAGTGTCTCAATCGTTACGGAACAAAACACTAAAAACAAAAGTATTCTTGCGTTTTTTTGTTTGTGCTTCTAACTTGGAGATATGCGACGATAAAGTTTTAAAGTGAGAAAATCACGTTTGCAGAAACGTGTTACTATTATTCCAATAAGAAAAAAAGGAGAAGGCAATGACGAGCTGTATCTGATGTTCGGATAAAATTCATCTTTATTCAAAGATTTGACGAACGTTTTGATCCATTATGAGATCTTCTTCAGTGTTTATGTACACTATTATAAAGGAATTCTTTTGTAGTTGACTAAAGACACGTGAGACTGTATTTTAGTCACGTATATTTAAAAACGTGACTAAAGTAAAGTCACGTGAGTGTAATCACGTGTTGTTTTTCCACTTCTCCCTGTCACTATTTTTTTTATTTTGATTTTCATGCGTTATTTCTGACATCTTTGTAATGTGTATTATATAGTTTGTAAGATATATATATATATACTAGCTGTCATCGCGGTGACAGGTTTTGTTCACTGACACAACACGGTAAAATAAAAACAATAATGGCGTGCGCGTAGCTCGCGTCTGTGTTGTGCTAGTATAGTTTAAAACGCGCGCAGTAAATAAAAACTCTAATGCGTTATAAAAAAAATATCAAAAACATGTTTTTTTTTTTAAATATTTTAGGAAAGTAATCACAAACATGAATAATTTAATCTACACATATGTGAAAACTACTGCTCTTTTATAATTCATACTACTCGATTGCTGTTTTAAAATTAACAATTTTACTGATTCAAAATTACCAACTTTCGATTTTAAATATTAATATAGTTTCAGAATTAATTTGCAATTAATCCTGTAATCAGCAATCCTGTTTAAATACCAAGCGTAACATGTTGAGAGCGAGAGAGAGGGAGAGGACACTTGCAAAGGAAAATATTTATTTAAACAAATTCGTATGCGCGGAATACACGGGCGAGCACGTGCGTCCGTTTTCTGTGTTTATCATCTCTGCGAGGAATATTCAGTTCGCCGCAAATGCGCTTTCTGTTGTCAGCTGGTGAAATAACACGAATAGTGTGAATAACGGCGATAATTTCGGTAGGAGAGAAATTAGTGAACGGTAGAGAAACAGAGGTGAGAGAAAGAGACAGAGAGTCACAAATGGCTATCATAAAAGCGTGCTAATGGCTTAACGTTTATTCGCAAAAATATCGCTTGCTTTATCGACATGTATTTTCTTTCCCTCCTTTCTTCTCTCTCTCTCTCTCTCTCTCTCTCTCTCTCTCTCTCTCTCTTTCCGAGTTTCTCTCTTTTTGGTGAGATGCGCGTATCATACGTTATAAATAATTTGTGTAATAAACGCAATTTGCGGACACGCGCCACTGGTAATTGTTACGAAAGCGCATCGCATTAATAATCATAATAACGATAATAATAAAAGGGGTCCCTGTGCGAACGGAGTTCGCAACTGGACGGCTGTTAACGAATTAATTTTTAAAAAAATAACACAACAATATAACTTTGAAATGCGCTGCTTATAAATGAGATGAGCGGAACGCGAATCAACAGATTAATATTAGAAGGCCGTGTGTGGCGCAGCGTGAAATTAGAATAAATCATTCAAGTAATAAAATATAGTAGGAATATTAATAAATTTATTTTGCAAAAAGCGTGGGGTGTGTTTGTATAATAATATATTTTTGAAATGAAATAGTGGTACTGTATGCGCGCCGGATTAGCCTTAAATAAACACAAAGTAAAATGAAAGCGTAACATTGAGGAAAATGTAAAATCGGACCGTTGGTTTCTTTTCGCAATGAATATTTTACAGTTTTTGATTTTTGCGAGAAAATAATTACATATCATATTTTAATCACTTTTTTTTTCTTTTATATTCCAATCATTTTTTTCATTCTCTCTAATATTTTTAGTTTGCTACTATTTGTACACTTTCTTCGTGACTTTCTAATATCTTGCACACGAGTGTTTTTAAACACACGCTAGACTTGCGTGCAATATCCGGCGAAATTCGTAAAACGGTTAAATAAAAATAAAACAAGAAGAGAGAATGTCGGTGCGTGATCGACGAAAAGTCGTCAGCCGACAACGAATGACTAGAATAAATAAAAAAAAGAAAGAAAAAAAAAGAAAAAAAAGAAACGTGCGGAATGTTGAACTATAGACACTTTAAATAACAAAAGGTCGACGACCGACATCCTAATTGCGGCGCCATTTTTCGATACACGCGGCCGTTTACGACGATGTCCTTTTTATTCTGCAGCACGCGTGTTTCGGACGTGCCTCCGTTTTTCGATTTTCGTGCGTGATCGATTTTCGGCCATTCCGCCAACTATTTTTCCGATGTGACGCGTCGTGACGCGTTGTGAAAGCGTTCTGTGACGAACGCCGTCCGCGCGTTTCACAATCGCGGTTCTAGCGAAACTAGTGTAAAAGGCCGTAATTATTCTCTTTCATAGTTTCCGTTTTCGTTATTTATTTATATTTCTTTGTTTGTCTATTGAATTATTGTACAGGAAACGAATCGATGAGTAACAGCGCGCGTTCTTACATTATTAGGTTTTTTTTTTTTTATTGCTCATTCTTCTTCCCCGACTATAATATTTCTCTCAGAAAAATAAATTCATTAATAAATTCAAGGCGGAATGAAGGGGATAAGCAGCGTTTGTTATCTGAAGGCGTCTTTGCGCTCTTATTTGTTTCTCTCGCAAGCTTTTTCGCCGCTTAGCATTTCGTTATCAGATGGAGGGATTACTTCGTAATATATATTTAGGTAGTTAAAAACAAAAAAAACAAAACAGCGACACACACGTTACGTATATAACAGTGTATAAATGAGCGAGCGAAACACGGTGAATAACATGAAAAACTATAGAGCGCGGAGCGGTAACAAATAAGATCTTTAAAATGCACACAGATTGGCACGCTTAAATTTGCATATTCGCACACCTGTTTTTGTCTCTCTTTTGTCATTTAAAACCTATTCCAACTGGCATTAAAATGTTCTTTAAGTAATGCACACACAAGAGAAAAACACCGATCGAATTTGCCTGCAAACTTCATTAACGTCGGAATTTCTGAGCTCGAAAGATTTCTCTCGCGTGAGAAAAAGTAGCGCGAATCTGCGTGCTACTACCCGCCATGTTGACGATGCGATCGAGGTAATTGGCAATTTCCCGTTAAAACGCAACCATTTTATCAGTGTTTCGCAGCGAAAAGGTTTCGCCGCTTTTCGTCCTTTTTGCCACGAGAAATCGCACGTTTAAACTGCAGCTAATGGAGCATTTATTGACCGAAACGCTCCTCGTAGGACGAATTCGATTAAAGTTCGACGCGATTCGATTACCGGAAGATCCGTTTTGTGTCGACTCTCTTTCTCTTTCTTTCTGGCGGCGTGTCTGAAAATCATCGGGACTCTCTGTTGAAAAGTTTCACAAGGTCAAACGAATGTGGTCGTGCGATCGTGAAAATGTAATTTATGACACGTTTGGAAAATTTGTATGGAAAATTGATTATCATTAAAAAAAAGGTCGAATAAACAAATGTAAAACTAGAATGTACAATAATTAATGTAAAAACCTAGGACACGTACATATTATCTCTCTCTATTCGCCTATTACGACGCGATAACGCATCGGCTTGTATCACAAACACCCCTTTTGATACCTTTTCTTCATTACGTAATTTACTAAACGATAATGAGTTAAATTGCGTAAAACTGAAATTCACGTCTCGCAAGTTAATAGTTAACATTATTTAGTTCTATTTTAACAAAATCTCTGTAGTTCGAATTACACGCTCTAATAATCGTCAATCGATTCGCGATTCGTGCCCAAACCACCGCAACACAGACCGTGGAATAACAGTCCGATATTTCGGTGAACGCGCGAATATTTTTCACGCCTGCATTTCGCCTTTTGTGTCCGTATAACGATGATCGTTATGTATTAAACGATATTATATCAATTTAATTGTCACTTGTGCGCACCGACACAAAATCGGGAACGCAGAATTACGCGGGTCTCACTCATTTTCATCGAAGAGTTGACCTTTTATTTATAATAAACCGTAGATTTCAACATATTCAAAAATGTCCGCAGCAGTCGGTGCACACAGTGTGAAATGATTGAATGACAATGCTATTGTATACATTTATATTTGTCTAATGCACATTGCTCTTATTGTGTTTCAGGGACTACTACTATGACAGGTGATTGTCTCTAGAACTTTATGTGAACTTCAATACAGGTATAAATTCGTATGATTCAATTCTACACACACACACACATCGATTAGAAGCATCGCATTTTCTTTTCCGAACCGTTGAACGGAATTGTCAACAGATTGTATTTCACGATCAAATACCGTACATCTCCGAAACGTGTTTGCGCGCATACTTTTGTCTCTCTGATCTCTTCAATTTCAACACGTGCTCATCTAATTCGCGAATCAGCACAATAACGTACACGCGCTGCGGAAGCGACGCCGGGCGTCGTCGCGCGAGTTGCATATTTAAAGCCCCCGTCGGGAGAAACGACGGGGGAGGAGATGTGAGAGAGACCGCGCGCGTCGCAGCGAATGTAAACGCGTTCGAACAAAATAAGGGGAAAAGGAACAACGCGCGCAACTCTCTACTCTCGGACTCGTCGGCGCGCAGTGGTGGTCGCAAAAAAGTCGCCACGCTCGGCGGAATGATGCCATGGTGCATTCATATTTTGCACTTTTTTAATCGCACGCGCGCGCGCGCGCGTTCCAGACGCTGCGGAACGGCGCGGCGGCGCGAAGTTTTTATTGCAACACGACGAGAGACGCTACGCAACACGACGCGTGTTCTCCAACGCCGGTCACGGAGCGCCTCTGAATAGTCACAATTAAAACAAAAACGAAGGCGTCGCGATGCCACGCGTTGACATGCGCCGGGCTCTTTCTGTTTAATGCTGTGTTGTTTTTTGATTTTTTTTTTTTTTTTTGATTTTGTAATTTTCAAATGTGAAATAGAGACGCGATTGCGTGGCATTCCGATGACACGTCAAATTCATCACTCGGATCGTTTCGTTTGGAGCGCGAACGTTAATGGATGTTGGTTCGAGTATCGGTTAAGTGATTTAAACGCTTTTTCGACGAACCGAATCAAAGTTTAATTTCTAAAGGAAATGCGAAACGCATAGTATCTGAGCTGCGAGACAGAGTAGAGCGGGATATTGACGCGCGGGAATGTGAGAAGAGAATTCATAATTCGAAATCTCGAATCTATATCACTAGATTCGCGAGTGACGCACCGCACGCATGGGACAATTCGATTAACACGTGGATACAGCGTAGCTATAACACCCGTACGGGGGGAATAGTGGATGTTGGGTTAATTAGAGACGCCTGTCTCTCGAGGCCCATCGTCAGGTGACGTTGCACGCAATGAATTAATAGAATCAAGATTCGCGCGATTTGCTGCCATTTCGATGACTTTAAAATGACCGAGATGTTTCGGATCGATTTTTAATCTCGTCATTATTACAAATTGCAAATTTCGTATTTTTAAATAATTTAAAATTTACTCACATTTTATCGCTTTATTGATTTTATCATTTATTTTATTACTTATAAAAAAATAATAATTTAATAATGTCGATAACGATATTATTTGCTGATGTAAAATGTTATGTGCAGAAAGCATCTGAATAAAATTTTTAATTTTTTACAGTGTTTAATTTATTGTAAGTAATTATTATTAGATTATTACCAAAGGTGTGCCACCGCGAATTGGCCAATAATTTGAACAAATGCGAAGTGTCACTCGGTCGAATGTGCACAAAAAGCTGCTACTGGGGCTAAATTAATAATTATTATTTACAGTCACATGAGCGTAATGAATAATTATGGATTATCGGCTGAGAATAACAATTTGCGACTCATTGCGCACAAATGAGGTTAATTTCGTTGCGGTGAAACGTATTACAGTAATTATTTATATGTTTCCATATTTCTCACAATAAGCGAAGAATGTAGATGTAATTTCACAATCTTTGAGAGAAACATATTAAACAAATAGTTTTGAAAATAAAAAAAAATATCTTTTTTCTTTAACATACTCTAATTATATTTTATGTGCGTTTGTTTGTAATATAATTAGTATTAAACACAACAAAATGAAAAAAAACCAAGTTCCATTGTGAAATGATATTTGCGATGTGTTTTGTACAAAAAAAAAATAAAATTATTAAATTTACGGCGATGCATCGCCGATGATATTTTATAAATATATAAGGAATTTAAGTATACACAGCGCGTCGAATAAATTAGACTTGAGATCTAAATTGAAATCGCCGAGAAACCTTCCGCAACATTCATGAACGAAATACCGCTTTTCTAAGTAAGCCGTTCCGTTGATTAGATTCTTACGAATTACATATACCTCCTCCCTCTTTTCCTTTCCTTCACTTTGCAAGATAAAAATTTTCATCATAAAATTTAATCGCGCGCACGCGCGCGATACGTAAATATGGCGTAATACTATACGTTGTACGTACACAAAAAGTTCAAAATTTCAAGTATGCAATAAATTTTCAAAATGATTATTTTTAATTTACGCGTCATTATACGCACGAAAATCATCTGTTTTTCCAATAATAGTATTATTTTGGAAATATTATTTAGGGCACAATACTGTTCGCGAATCTTTGTTAGCAAACATATATTGGTGTGATAACAATATATACAAGTAGGCGCTATCAATAATAACGATCATTGATATCGGAGTAGCTGGTACCGAGATGTATAATACTGCTTCTATTAGCGAGCGCATAGCTGACATTATTAGTATGTAATCACAATAGAAGCACAGAGGTACCATGTAATTGCGCTTATTAACGATACAACAATAGACGATACGCGAAACAATAAGTGCACGTTCGTGTCGATCATATGTACTTATGTGTGTTAACACACACGTACACGCACTGTGTGTGCAGGTATTTTATATTTCGGCAAATTATCAATCAATATAAGTCTCTAAGCAAAGGCACAAAATTTGAATTTGAATTTATTCGATCTAGCGTACAAATACATAATTAGTGATACAATCACAATTTCTCTTCAAACATTTATTGTCAGATAGTTAATTATTGTTAAAAAGTAATCAAATACACGTGGAAATTACGCGAGATTACGAAAAGAACAATTTAATGCGCGCGATTGGAAAAAGAGGTCGAGAAGAGATGAGGTGTCGCGACTCTCGTTGTCGCCCTTCCAAATTAGAGGATGGCCACGTAACGCGACGCCGAGCAGTCTGAAACTGGCTGTTAAACCAATGCAAATTAGCGGAAGACAACCTCGCGCACCTCGGAGTTTGTCCCTTCTAATTACTCGGAAGGGGGGGAGGAGGAACCGAGGGGAGAGGCTTAAAACCCGGCTTCGCCGAGAATTAGTTGTCACCCGGTAGATACGCGACTGCGAAGAACAAGAACGCCGTTATAACACCTCTCTCTCCTCTTCTTCTCTCTCTCTCTCTCACCGCACGGTGGTTTTGCATCAAACAATAATTGCGCGTACAACTGCACCTCGTGATCGATTTCGACGATAAGACGACGACGACGATTATTTATGCTTCGCGCGACTATTTGTGTTTTGCCAAAATCGCGATCATTAGCAAGAAGCGCGTCTTTATGTGTTCGCCAAATTCTCGACTCGCCAATCCCTTTGCACGAAAAATATTTCTCTCGATGAACAATCCGCACGCGTGTTATCTAATTATAAATCAAAGTCACTCGTAGAGGTTTACAGGTTTGTTAAATCACCCCTTTAACCACAACAGATCTCGTCATCAAGCCATTTTACGATACAATAACGTATCACGCATATTATTACGTCGAACACACAAGTAGCGAACAATAGTGCGCGCAAATACGTATAAACAAAGCGAGACAACGAATAAATATAATATTACAGGAAAATATTTCGGTGAGTGCAATGTAACATTATATAATAATGGCCTATTCTGTGTTTTCCGTATAAATCACACGGGCGAGAACGTCCGTAACTTTGTTTTAGAATTCAACAGATAAGTGCGTATAAGGGAAAGAGGAGGAGAGAAGAGAGTGACGCCATATCAACTCTGATATCTTTTTCATTTATTTATCTCATCTCTATATTATTCATTTCGACCGTGTCAGGGTCGTATTTAATTTGACACTTGATCGGAGGTATATCCCAATACATCGGGACGAAGGAGATTAATTATGGACGAGCGTCTCTCAAGACACCTTCGCGACTCCGGGGGAGGCTTAATCGCGCGCCATCGATACGTCCCCTGACCCTCGATGTCGGCGTCGCGACGGCCTAAACGCTCGATTCCCATCGATGTGCAGTTAAGTCTGTAGGTCATGTATCGCTTTAATGCACGTCCGATCTGCGTCAAATTAAGCGGCCATTCTCGTAATTGGAATTAATCTTACCGCCACGCCGAAATCACGCGTGTTGTTATTATCGCAAATATTTTAATCCGAGATTTTTGTTGTAATTGCGAATGACAAAAACCAGCGTTGCCGCGCTGAGAGATAAAAACAGCAAAGATTTTAATGTGATTATTTTTAATAAGATTACTGTTTTTCTAAATATAAAACCGCGACAAGCAAAAGAGAGATATAATTAATTAATATATTAATTTATAATGTCATTACTTTTTATAGATTTTGTGTTTTGTTTTTTTTTTTTTTTTTTGCATCTTTTCTGTTTAATGCATCTCTTTAACATTTTCATTGCGAGCTTGTTTGCCGATACGGTCGATATTTAAAATATTTGAAATGTTATGCTGCTGCAAGTTGAAACTGAAAGAATGTCGAACCAGAATAAATACCGAATTGGCCAGCCGAGCTCTCACAAGCGAGTCAATTATCAACTTTGAAATCGACGCTGCGACCAATCAAATTACAGCAGCGATGCTACATGGCATCATCCCTTTGAAAAATGCAAAACGCATTCGACATATGAGTTTGCAACAGCTAAAACCCAGCGATGCGTTTCTATATTTAATTTGTTTTTGCAAGCTGTGTCGATTTATGCAAATATGCATATCTGTAGCTATTCGCAATGAAACTCAAACGCAATGCGCTTTGATCTTTATTCACGCCGTTCCCTTCCCCTCCCTCCTCCCGACATAATTTCCAATATGTTATTATCTAATAACAAAAATTAAGTTTTGCAATTAGCGTCGTACAC